TTGGTTTATTGTAGAAATAAGGTGCTGCTAAGTTGCCCAAGCTAGGCTTGAACCCCTGGGCTCAGGCAATCCTCTCTCCTCTGCCTCCCAAGTGCTGGGATTACAGGTGTGAGCCACCACACTCGGCTAAAAGCAATATTCTTGTTGGGCGTAGTGGCTGTCGCCTGTAGTCTTAGCTACTCGGGAGGCGGAGATGGGAAGAGTCCAGGAGGTTGAGGCTGCAGGGAGCGTGACAGTGCCACTGCCTGCCAGCCTGGGCGACAGAGTGAGGCCGGGTGTCCATAAAAGAATGAATGAACAAATAAATAAATGCACGATCCCTACCAGGACCCTACCCCTGGGGATGTCGAGACAACAGGTGCGGCGGAGGCATGAACGTTATTTTCAAATCTCCCATTTGGAACCCCTGCCGGAGGATTTGTAGGGTGGTGTGTGTGTGGGGGGGGTGTGTGTCAGGCCTGAGATCCATGACTGTCCCTCAGCCAATGGCTTCAGTCAGTAGCCACCCACTCCCACCGGAGCTGTCACGCCAGGCCCGACTCTTGCCACTGTGGGAAGGGGCTGGCGAAGAGCCCTCACCATGCCAGGAGCCGGCGACAGGAGGCACAGCTGGGACCGGGCGCCGTCGTGTCCGCACAGTCCTGACTTGCTGGGGTGGCCTTGGGGTCCTCCTGCACCACAAGCACACACAGATGGGGATGGGTGGAGGGTGTGACGTTCTGGCCGCCCGCACAGCCCACAGGCATCTCACACCTGGCTGAACTCCCCGGGTCACGCGAGAGAGACTCGCCAAGTCGCTCCTGCAGATGGGGAAACGGAGGCTGGGAGGCCAGGAGGAAGGCGAAGAGGTCATCCCTGGCTCTGATGTCTCTCTCAGTGGGGTCTGGGCGTAAGAGAGGAAGCTTCTTTCCTCCTCTGACCACATTTTAAAATCTGGTGTACAGGGGAGAGAGTACCGTCCCCGTCATTTTCTGCCCCTTTGTTACTCCAAGCACCACTAGAGGATGAACAGATTTAGAAAGGCAAATTTCAAACCCATTCATCTGACCACTGGTAAATAGAGCTCTACAAGCTTTTCCAAAGAAATGTATTCAGCGATGAATTGCACTTGATCTTAGCCAGAAGGCCAAGAAACAATTCAGCAATTAATTAAAACGAGGTCTGGCTGAGTGCGGTGGCTCACACATGTCATCCCAGCAGTTTGGGAGACAGGCAGGAGGAATGCTTGAGCCCAGGAGCTTGAGACCAGCCTGGGCAACATAGTGAGATCCCGTCTCTACAAAAAAATTTAAAAATTAGGTGGCGCATACCTGTCGTCTCAGATAGGAGGCTAAGGTGGAAGGATCACCTGAGCCCAGAGGGTCGAGGCTGCAGTGAGTCATAATCATGCCACTGTGCTCCAGCCTGGACAACAGAGTGAGACCCTGACTCAAAACAAACAGACAAACAAACACATAAATAAAACGAGACCAAAGGACGGTCTGGAAGCCTAAACGATTGACTATATGTCCCTTTTTAGCACAAAACCCTTGCAGCCCTAAGCCAAAAGGGCTGACACCACCCCCTGTGGTCTTACCCTTTATGAAAGCAGAGGAGAAATATGCTTTTTTTATCATTATAAACAGCGCAGCCAGAAGTCTCACTGTACACACAGCTTTTTCCACATTTTGGATTACTTCCCGAGGAAGCCTCTGGGTCAGAGGTTGCGAACGTGTTTGTGTGATGTTCCCTACTGCCAGATTGCTTTCCACAAAGGTTGCCCAGCTTACACAGCCACCAACAATGTGGGCGGCTGGGCTGGGCCCCACCTTCCTCTGCATCAGGAATTCTAACTTGAAAATGTTTCTGTGAATGTAAAGGCGGGCTGGGCCTAGCGCCTTGTGTTAATTAGCATTTCCTCTGTGATTAATGGACAGCAGCATTTCCCACGTGTTCATTTATTGGTTGTATCTCCTGCCTATGACTTTTTCAATCCTTCTCTTTGTCTGTTCGTTCTCCGGAGGGTTTCAGCATTTTCTTATTCGTGAAAACAACCATTTGTGGGTTGTTCAACAATATGCCAGGTGCCAGGTACCCAGCCTTCTTGATTCCTGGCCACCACCCTGGCAGGCTGTCTCCATGTCAATGGTGAATAATCTGAGGCTCAGGGTATTTAAGCCGTTTGGCGAGGTCACATAGTGAGTAAGTGACAGAGCCAGGATTTGAACCTGTACCCGCCTGACTCATATGTTTGTGTTCTTAATCACAACACTGTTCCTTGGTGCGTCTGTCAGAGAACTTGATGGAATGAGGATCTCAACACTGAACATTACTCATTCTTAATACTGTCCCAGTTGCCTGCCTTCAAAAAAAAAATCAACTGTAGTTTCACTTTTGCAAACATAAGTTAAAATGTGGACATTATCAAGGAGGAGGTGCAGAAGGCCAAGAAACACGTGAGGATAGGTTGGATCTCATGAATAGTCAAACACTGAGGCACACAATTAGATACCACTTTTCACTTATCACACTAGGAAAGGTTGGGACCAGTATGGTGGCTCATGCCTGTAATCCCAGCACTTTGGGAGGCAGAGGCGGGAGGATCACCTGAGCCCAGGGGTTCGAGACCAGCCTGAACAACTTGGCAAGACCTCATCTCTACAATAAATCAAAAAATTAACTGGGCGTGGTGGTATGCACCTGTGGTTCCAGCTATTTGGAAGGCTGGGGCAGACAGATTGCCTAAGCCCAGTTGGTCAAGGCTGTGGTGGCCATGAGTGTGCCACCAAACTCCAGCCTGGGCGACAGAGTGAGAATCTGACTCAAACCAAAAAAAAGAGGAAAAATTGAAAAAAATATATATATTTATATATATTTAGGGTGAACTTCTATGGGCCTATAAACTAGCTAGATTATCAGAATTTTTTTTTTTTTTTGAGTTGGAGTCTCACTCTG